GGAAAACCCGAATCTGAAAGTTTCCTGGGTTTTCCACCCAGTTGAAAGTTCATGGTCTTGTCCCCACACCCACAAGTCCATCATATGGTGCAATTTTCCTCTGCCACGCTGGCATTTCCACCCATCTAGTTCCGGTCAGATGCAGAGGTGCAGAGACAAAGAATGACCTTGGGCTTCTAGAAAGGAATGCTCTATTTTGACAACAACACATTATACAATTCTACTCCTTACTATTCTCCCTCCCAATTACCCCACTAAAGGAACCTTTGTAACTTGACTACTACCTGTAAAGGGAATGGATGCAGGTGCAAGGAGATTTAACAAAGGCAGGGGATGGAGAGAATAATTTTCATGCTCTCCAAAATATGGAGCATGTCAGGCCTTCAGTCATATTCCTTTTAGGATCTTTGGCCTGCCACACACTCTCTACTATGCTGTTTCATTAGTGGGGTAATTGGGAGGGAGAATAGTAAGGAGTAGAATTGTATAATGTGTTGTTGTCAAAATAGAGCATTCCTTTCTAGAAGCCCAACGTCATTCTTCATCTCCACACCTCTGCACCGGAACTAGATGGGTGGAAATGCCAGAGTGGCAGAGGAAGATTGGACCATGTGATGGACTTGTGGGTGTGGGGACAAGATCATGAACTTTCAACTGGGTGGAAAACCCAGGAAACTTTCAGATTCAGGTTTTCCACAGATGTGGCAACATCTCTCTTATTAAATTGGAACTTTGATGAAAGCTATGTCTTGGACTCTGATTTAATTCTGGATGATATTTGGAACACTGACACATGGTCCACAATTGGGGACATCTGCAAAGGCTCTGGAGGTATTTGTCTCCCCAAAATCCAGACACACCAAAATGAAATCTTGATCCTGACTTACCTTCTTTTCTTTCTCTTTCCTCCATGACCATAATTTAAAGCTGCTCCATCTCTGTTAAGAAGCCGCGGAATTAATATAAATTATAAATTATTATTATTATTAGAATGAATTATTCTATTAATCTCTTCAGAAAATCCTGGGTTAGTTGTCATGCTGACTTTTCTACTTCTAGAGCAATGGGTTTCAACCTTCCTAATGCCACGACCCTTTAATACAGTCCCTCATGTTGTGGTGACCCCCAACCATAAAATTATTTTATGTTTTCTGTATTTTTTTGAAAATATGTGTTTTCCGATGGTTTTAGGTGACCCCTGTGAAAGGGTAATTCGAACCCCAAAGGGGTCCCGACCCACAGGTTGAGAACCACTGTTCTAGAGAATTCTGAGATTAAAAACTTGTGGGGAAGGTGAAATATTGGTTGGAAAAGACAATCTGAATTCCCAGGGAGCAAATACCTGGTTCTTTACTATAATCCAATATACTTCCTACACAAGGAAGCCTCCTTGTGCCACCTGTGGCACACATGGCATAGGTTCGCCATCACGGGTCTAACCTATAGCTTACTGTGCATGGATTTATTGATCACAATAAAGATATATGTTTATTGTGTATATGTTATCCTCTACCTTCAGTAAGAATTTTGCCAAAGTCATAAAGCAGAAGCCTTTTCCAAGCTCTGCTATTAGGAAAATTCTCTCTCTCCCTCTCCCTCCCCCCCTCTCTCATATCTCTCATATCTCTGTTTCTCTATCTCTCTCTTCATCTACCTACCTACCTACCTACCTACCTACCTACCTACCTACCTACCTACCTACCTACCTACCTATCTTTCTCTCCTTTCTCTCTCCTCTCTCTTTGCTAAACAACAGGTCCCATCATAAAGAAGAAAAGAAACAAAATGATGATTGTGACACCAAACAATAAGCATTCTTACCTTTTTCATCTTCACCTTTTTAGTGACTGTTGGGGGGAAAACACATTGAGAAAATTCATAAACATTTGAGCAGGAACAGAATTCACCCTTTTCAGGAGCTATAGTCCAATGAGTTATCTCTTCTTGGCCTTCAGAAAGTTCAGAAGGGCTTTTGTGAATCTTCCAGTAACCTCAACTGGCCTCTTAGTTGTAGATAGTTAATTGTAGATAGACAGCAAGCGCCCCCAAAATCTGAACTGATGTTGTCAATTCAGCTTTAGGACCTCATCCAATGAGCTCATTTGGATGTCCAAGTTTGGTTAGCAAAAAATGGTTAGCATGTAAAGGATTAAGACTCTATGCCCAGTCTGCGGCATACTTGTGACTATTTCGTGCTATCCTATTGTCCTAAATTATTTGATGAATACCTTATTGATAACTGCCTTATTAAGACATTTATCAAGCATACCTCTGGGCGGTAAGTTGTGGACTTTGGTTTCTTCTAATGGATTGCAGTAATATTGACTCAGAGATCTCACTGTTGCTTGTCCCACCACTGGCTTATATCCAAAATCGCGGTGATCAATTACCTTCAGTTCAATGGGAGGAGAATAATCTTCGTCAACAGGCAGGTACTGCAGAAAGTCAAGATGGAAAAAAGGAACCTGTCAGGGTTCCAAATAGCATCCAAACGTAGATCAGAGTCCAAGGCAAAGTATTGCTCAAAGTTCCAATTTATGAAGAGAGCCATGTTGGCACATCTGGGAAAACCCAAATTTGAAAACTTCCTGGTTTTCCCCATCAAGTTGAAAGTTCAAGATCTTGCCCCCACACCCATAAGTCCATCACATGATCCAATCTCCAATTGCCATGCTGGCAGTTCCACCCATCCAGTTCCGGTCAGGTGCAGAGGTGCAGAGACAAAGGATGACCTTGGCTTTCTAGAAAGGAATTCTGTTTTGGCTACATAGCATTTTACTCTGTACCATTCCTCCTCCCATTTTCCCACAATAGAAAAGGCATAATAGAATAATAGAAAGTGTGGCAGGCCAAAGACCCAAAAGAAGAGAAGGCTGCAGGCCTG